AACAAATAAATTTTTCATAAATTATACATTTTTTTGAAATCCTTGTTGTTAAATTGTAAAATTATAACAATGCGTCTCGGTATTTTTCTGTGTAACGAGCAATAACAAATTAACAATTAAAAAGCTAATTATTAAATAAATAATGTCATGGTTTGATATAAATCGATGCGATTATTACCCAATCGGTGACACATATTTAGGTGATCTCAATAGTAACCAATCGCTCCTAATTATTGCAAAATTTAAGGTAAATCATGTTATTTTTGTTTAATCAATCTAAATAATAAAATTATTTATATAAAATTATTTTTATAATTTAAAACATAATAAATTATAATAACTTTGTGAATTATATAAAGATAATATAATAACATTAATTAATATAAAAAATAACTTTAAATATAGCGCATATGTGGCATTGATCAGCAAATTATCGAGATCTTTTCAAATGGTAATTATAACGTAACTTTACGTGTGGTGGACAACCGAATAAGTATTATGGAAATGTTACGGAGAAACAAGGTAACTATTAATACTTGATCACGTTATAATAAATTAATGATATAATTTATGTTACATAATAATATAATATGTTTTAACATGTATTTATATTTTGCACATACACATGGACATAATATTAGTATAATTAGTGTATATTTTTAATCTAGAACATTGATTTGGGTATAAGTATGCCTTTATATTCAGTTGAAGAATATTCATTGACCCATTCAATGATACAGTGGGTTAATGATGGATACAATATGGTAATTATGAGTGGTAAATATTTAGACAAACCCAATATAGTTACCATGGTACATGCATATTCTTGGTTAATTTGGTTTTTAATAATAATGTGCACCTTTATAATTACTTCACATCAGTATTTATTGGTTAAAATTCTAGGTAAGTTTAATATGCAAAACTAAAAACACATAATTTATTCACATTAATTAGCATTAATTATTTTATTTAAACTAGGTGATTTGAATAGTATTACCCCAATAAAAATATTCTATAATACTTTAAGACATATTTTTAACCAAACGCTAAATAATCAATACAATCGACCAAACCTAATGATAAACCTATGGGCATATGTGGTATTATTATTATCATATTATTTTACATCTGATTTATTGTCATCGATAGTGACCCGTCAGTGGCAATATATAAAATCATTAGACAATCTTGTTAATACAAACCAAACAGTTATGATTACAAAAGAAACATGGTTATGGTATCGCTATAAGCAACTTTTTATGTTGAATGATACAATGGATCCAACATTGCATAAACTACATCAAATGGGCAGGGTACAGTTTGTCGATGAAAATTATCACCATAGTTCTTACGAAGAATACAAAGAATCTCTAAGGGTATATAATATACAATGTATTTATGCAATGCTATTATATATACAATTTTATTATTTAGGAGAGTATTTTCAATAAGGTTGATAATCGGCAATCAGTTTACATGAGAGACAGTGGTATGGCTTCGATAAGAAAGCTAACTAACCTCGATCTAAAATTGGCAATTAGTGATAATAAATATTACCCAGTACTATTTGGTCACCCAATAAATAAATGTACAAAATGGGAAAATTGTCCGCAATATAAGCATAAAAGACTTCGATTGCTTAAAATGTAAAACAAATTCTATAACATGTTATTTGAAATAAATGTAAATCAGCTTGATGTATTTTTTACAGAATACAAATTATGGTTGAATCGGGACTAAATGTCAATTGCAATCATCGTTCGGATTACAGTCTAATCCTAAGAGGATTAAGAGAATTGAATAAAGAGTTAAACAAAACTGGCATTAATTCACATGAATATAACGATATAACTTTATTTATGAATGAAATAAATAATAGCGAACACAGTAATAATAATTTTAAACATATTGAGTTGTATTTTGTCATAGACTTATTGATTCTGCTTGCTGAATTGTGGACATTTATTACCATTGTTTTATTTGTTGAATTTTTTGCAAAATGGTATTCGCGTAAAAAAATAATCTTTGATAAGCTTGGAAATAAATAATGTCAAGTTGGTTAATATTTAATTTATACTTATATAAACTATTATATAATTGTATTGTATAACTTTATTATTGTATTGAATAGTATTATTTTAAAAACTACATGTTGTTAACCATTAAGCTATTTATTAAATATTACAAAAATTTGCTAATATAATATAAATCCATTTAAGTAATTAAAATATCTTAATGCAAATATAATAATTTTAGACTTCATTACATTTTGGCGAGTATTTAATTTATTTATATTGTCTTACAAACTTATAATAAAAACATTCAACTTGACCTGCTAATTAATTTTAATAATGATGATAATATAATAATTTGGTTTAGTGCAAAAAGCTCATATTTGTGTAGTAATTGTCAATTATGTATTAATGAATAAATTGATTATAATTTAATAAAATTATATACACTATTTAAAATATGTTTATTTAAATGTTTATGTTTATTTACTAATGTATAATCACAATTCCAATTAAATGATATAATTTATATGATTTTTGTGCCCCAAACAGATTTTTAAATACATTTGTATAAACAATATACATATTCATGTAAAGTTATATTCATGATTCTATTAATTGATGTGTACGGCTGTATTAAATGTATTATATTACATATGAACTAAATATACAATATAAAGAAATTTTATTATTACAATTTCTTTATTACAAGAAATATTAGAATCTAATAATTAATTAAATTTAAAAACATATTATACACAATTTTTATGTTATTTACTATAATGTATCTTAATAACGGGTCACACCGTATAATGTGAACTTAATTCACCTATAAATACAATTGTTGTCAACCCTAATAATGCAAAAAACAAGATAAATAAATCGATCATAAAAGCCAACTCAATAACCTTATTATCAGAATCCGTATTTTGTTAGTAGATAGCGGGACTATTCATCCACACTGATGTCATAGATCACTAAAAAACATTACATAGCATTAGCATAAATTGTATAAAATGTAATTCATTAGGGCAATAATCCATAACTTTAAGTCACGGCCTATGGCTTTGGTCATTACATACCAGTGCCTTAGATTATGTGCCCTAATGAATTACATTTTATACAATTTATGCACCAAAAATTAAACATTTATTATTTAAGTGAAACCTATTTATCACATATTTTTCTTAAACTATAATTAGATTTTTTGCTTCTCTTTTAATTACTTCTAAGGCTATTTTCCTTTTCTCGATCCTCTCGATTGTGACTCTAATTTATAATGTTTTGAAGTTTTAAATTACTACTATTTATAAATTATATAGAAGAGATCCGGAGTGCACATACCGTGGCGTTCATAACGTCGGCCAACTGTCGCCCCAATTGATCCATGAATTCACAATTATTGAGATCATTTCTGTCAAACGGCCGGTGCTTTACATACTGTAGCATTTGTTCGCTGGGCTTTAGTCCTAAAACTTTAATTGACTTTAATTGCTAAAAATATAATTATTATTTAATAATCCAATTTATATTCTTTTTTAAAACTTAACACATAAGAATATAACTTATAATTACACTCGGCGCCCAACTGTAAGTCCGGGATATTTTGGTATAAATAGCCCGTATATTCGCATAGCGCTCTCACACATCCCAAACTATGACTCTTTCCAAGTGCTGTTTGCCTTTTTGCGATAACGACGGTGAATTGCGTATAGCCGATTGCCCGCACCTATTGTGCGTAAAATGCATTAAAAAGGAAATTCAATGCAGTTTTGAACTGTATGGTGGAGGCGGATGTGTTAACCATGGTTATGCTGAAGATGCGCCTAATCACGTACGGTGCCCAGGTACATTTTACAGATTTGATCTAGCTCATTTCGTTTGGGAGTAATTCAAATTTTTTTACAGTCTGTCGCGCAAATTTTAGTATTTACTTTGCGCCGCTGTCTGACAAACGTCAAACAAAATTTGCCCAAAAGTTTTATCGGGCGCAAAATCCGCAAGCCCGCCGCCGCCCTCGCACCCGGAGCAGCCCACCACCTCAACAACCAGGTAAGAACTAGCGTATATGGGGCTCTTAGATACTTTTTACAGAATTGGATTATCTCTTAAATTTAATATATTAATTATGTTTAAAATTAATTTGTAAGCTCCTCCCCCACCGGTTCCAGCGGTTGTGCTTCGCCGTGTGGATGAGGACATCGAATGGGAGAACCAATACCTCTTAGAGCTCGCGAACGGCTATTACGGCGGTGATAGAGGCAATTCTCCTTCGTATGTTTTGCTCTCTATTTATTAAAATTAATATTTAATTAAAAATTAATCATAAAATAATTTTAAAGGTATTCTCCGACGAGTCCTTCATATTCGCCGACTTCGCCGTCATATTCACCAACGAGTCCGTCGTATTCGCCGACCAGTCCTGGCCAACCAGAAGCAGAACTTGGAGCTGTTGGCGGAGCAGACCCAGCACAACCAGGTTGCAGCTCGTGGTTCTGTGAGAGCAACAATTCTATCGGCAGTGATGGCAACACAGCGACTACCAGTACCGCTAGTGATGGCAGTGGTGGTGACCATGGTGGTGTCCAAACATCTGGTGTTCGGTATTATAATACCATTTTCGATGATGCTTATGATGCCGATAGTGAAGACGACTGGGATATGGATCCGGAATTGACCATTGATTTTTCGCAAAATGATGTTAACCAGATTGTCATCATTGACAGTGATGATGACTAATTACATATTATAACTTGGTGGCGGCGGACACGGAGGTGGCTATCATGATTATAGTGGTGGAGAATATCCATGGTAATTTTTAATTACATTTATTAAACTTTAATTATAATCATTCAAATATAAAACAAGTATTTTATTATAAATTGAATAAAAATTACAATTTTTGTATTACTTTTATTGCCATTAAATGTTTGATCATACAATAATACAATCAAATTTTTTAGTCAATTAATTAGATTATAAATAGTATAAGTAAATGATATATTAATGTATAAAATTTATGTTAATTAAGTGCACAATAGTATAGTATTTACACGTAATCTCTTAGAAATAGAAATGACTTTCGAGAACACCGGTAGCTGTAAAACAGCAGCCAATCCAATAGTCTGTACGGCACCGACACCTATGGGTCGCCCTCTGTATGGGCCTTGAAGTAGTCCATTGCTTCATTCCAGCGGTTCTTCGGAAACCACTTCGCAAACGCCAGGCGCTGTTCGGCTGTAAAACACAAAACTTATTATAACCTCACAAACCACTACAAAAGCCATACCGAGAGAGTTGGCCGGCGGTCGGACTCCCGCAGACACGTGACTGTCGACCGCCCGGAGCTGACGGCCAACGATCGTAGACTCGATGAACGTCGAGAGCATTAGAGTTGACATCTCTTTCTCCAAAACCGTCCGGTTTTGCGGGTTTTGAAAACAACAGGCGATTAGCGTCGGGAACAACACCCGAGACAGTCGATCGTCGCTGA